TCTCTCTCTCTCTCTCTCTCTCTCTCTCTCTCTCTCTCTCTCTCTCTCTCTCTCTCTCTCTCTCTCTCTCTCTGTGTGTGTGTGTGCGCGTGTGTGTGTGCATGACCTAGGACCTTGCTCCACTACTCTCGATATGTGAAAAACGAGAGTGAATCTTTCGCTAGAGCGAGGCCCCTGCACTCTTCTTGGTTGCCTCCCGCTGTCTGACAAACGATGGCCAAGAAAGTGGCAGCAGGGGCAGTGGTAAGGGATAATTGGTAGAAAGAGCCCACGCCAAAACCTTTTCGGTTTTGGCCGCCCAAAGTTCGCCCGTTTGGTACTACCGGCCCAAACAACTTTCCCCTGGGTGAAAGGCGGCGCGACCACATCTCCCTGGGCCTGTTTTTACCGGTTCAAGAATTTGGCGCTGTTTCTGTGCCGGATTCATGAACAGGTAGGGCCCTTCTTTTTCAAAATCGCGTATGTGGGCCTCATTCAATACTTCAGCGTTACCACCGCCGGCCTCATCAAAATGAATCTGGCGTTGTTATGTGCCAGATTCATGATCCGGTAGGGCCCTTGGAGCGACGCGTGGGCCTGTAGTACCCCACATGCAAGTCATTGGGCCGGTAGTACCAAACGGCTAAACTTTGGGCGCCCAAAACCGAAAAGGTTTTGGCGTGGGCGCCTTCTACAGATTATCCCCAGTGGTAAGCCATGAGGGACGCGCCTGACTATGCTAGGGCGTTGTATTTTTCTGTGTTCTAGGGGAAGATTCATTCTCATTTTGCACATTTGGTGAGGAGTGGAGGGAGGCCCCCAAATGGCAAAAGGGGGATGAATCTTCGGCCAAAACACATGGAAAGATACAACACCACAATTTTTTGTCTGTGTAATTCCCTTGGCCAACCAGAACTGACCCTAGTCAGCCTGGACCGGCCCCCCTGCTGTGCAAAAAGTTGCTGCACTGCCCTCGAGTACAACACATATGCGGATTAAACGAATAAAACGCAACGTATGCATTGTGCAATCAGACTCAACTCTGGACTTGCTCACAACATGCATACATGAGAACCAATGGCAAATCAAACTTTTCAGCTCAGTATCAACAATAAACTTGCTCTTAAACTCTGTTCAGAACAACTGTACAATTCGCAGCTATGGCCGCCGAACACTGTCTCTACCACCAACCTCACTCTCTCTCCCTCTCACATGCACACACGTACGAGGATCACCCTGAATGTCCACGCTGCACAGACACACACACATTGTACACCCTGTCTACACCAACAGCTGAGCGGCTATGGCCGCCGCCGTCTTCCTCCTCCTAGCTATGGCCGTCGCCGTCTACCTCACTGGCCAACTTTGGTCGCTGTCTTCTTCACTGCCCACTTCCTCTCTGGGCACCTGCAGACCTCCACGCACAAGTTACCAAGGCAGCACTTCCGCATGGCTCCCAGGCGAATGAATGAATGGYTGGACGCTGCCTGTTTGTTTATACTTCTTCGGAGGTACCCGCCGCTACCCGGGCCCAGGCCTCAAACCGCGTGGGCCTGGGCCAAAAAGCGTGACAGCTGGGCCCCAAACCGCATTCCTGAAGTCTTCTGTTTACCGTGTGGGCCAAACCGCGTGGCCCTGGGCCGATAAGCGTCTTCTGGAGTCTTCTCCAGAATGCATAGGCCTCTCCCTGTCCCCACGTGCAGCCCTTTCCCTTAGTGCCTGTTGACTGGACTGGACTGCAGGGTCCTACAAACTTATAGAATCTACAGACCGCAGACAGACTCTAGGCCTAGAGTAGACTCAGGTAGAGACTTCTAGAACAGACTTGTTCAGGACTACGTAACAGACTCAACTCCTAGCCTATAGACCTAGGGATCAAGTTCTACACAGATCGCTAAAGGGTACAGGATAGGTCTAGGGATAGAATCTCACTCTGCACATAGGGTCAATATACAGGGTACAGGGTAGGTCTAGGGATCGAATCCTACTCAGCACACAGGGTCAATGTACATGGTTAGGGCACAGATCTGAGGATCGAATCTTTGTGTCAGCAAATGTCGGGTTAACTGGGTGAAACCGTTTCACTCCCGCCGTCCTGAATTCGAGGTCCTCCGAGAACTTTCTAACTCAGGATAGGGCCTTTACCTTTTCTTTATCTTTCGTAAGCGTGTACTATGTTGCCCTCAGGTTCTTGGTATGCGAACCTAACCTTATACTGTTTCTGGGGACGACCGCGACCTCTGGTCCTGAGCACGTCTTCTTCCACTATGTGATCTATGTCATATGCACCATCCTTTTCTGGCGGGATCATTGACCTTCGGGAAGGAAATCTGTCGGACGTGGTGTAAGGCAGCAACTTAGACGCATGGAAAACTGGGTAGGTGTGGAGGTGTGTTGGGATTTCTATTGTATAAGACAGGTCGTCCTTTCCTCCCTTGACTTCTAGGACAGGCCTTGGTCCTTTATACGCAGGTAAGAGCTTATGCGATATGTTTTCCTCTTGTACGAGCTCCGCTGACTTGACCCAGACTAGATCGCCTACCTGGAACTGTGAAGGTTGACGGTGCTTGTTAGCTTGCTCTATCATCCGATGCTAGGCCTTTCTCAGATTGTCTATGACCTTAGCAACTTCCTGCTCATGCTGCAACACAAACTCTCGTGTACCGGGTGGTAGTCTCTGTATTTGGGCCAGGTTTAGTCCCTCAAACAGTCGCCTAGGTCTTTTTTTTTTTTTTTTTTTTTT